AGTAAAACTTTAGACAACAAATGATGCAGAATGATGCTCAAGAAAGGGAAAGTCATCATGTGAAATTCCAGGCCCTTTTTCTTCCATTGTCTGGCAAGTACAGTAATAAGGAATAATATAAAAGAACTCCATTCTCATCTCTTTCCTTCTCTCCTACACTACATTCTCCAACTTTTCAATAGTGGTAACTTACAGAGTTCTATGTGACAATCAATTTCTCATTCCCTTTCTCCATTCTACTTTTTCCCTCTGTTGGAGATATGCAGCATGAGAAGAGAAACCTGGAAGAGATGAGAAAAGGCACTCTAAATTCTAAACATCCTCCACATTCTTGTAGACAAAGGAAAGAAAAAAGAAAAAAATAAGTTAAAAACAAGTGTTTATGAGTATTTTTTCATTGAAATAAAAAATATTTTCAATCAATGAAAAATAAAAAGTCAATTCAAAATTTTCCAGTCCAAAATAAAAACTGGAGAGCTTTTTCAGAATTTTGACCACCTAAATACTGTCTAGTTCCTGAAGTCAGAAGCAGCTGTAAGTGTTTATTCTGGCTTAATCATAATATTCAAGATTTCTGATGTAACTATATCTTAGGTAACAAACTAGAAGTGCAACCCTATTATACAATAAACTAGTCTTCTTGCTCCTTACAGTGTCAGAGGGATGAATTTCAGAGAAGTGCAGTCATAACAGTAAAAAATCCCAATGTAAGTTTTTTCAATTATTATAAAAGGTAGAATAATCTTCATTATGCATGCATTCCAGCATGAAGAATAACGCAGAAGAACAGTATAAAACAGCATTTTGTTTTCAGAAAAAGTATCCTTACATAAGTTAAAAGAATCCCAACATTAAGGAACCAGATATATTCACATAAGAGAAAAACCACAAAAAAAACGTAATTCTGTATTTATTATATAGTTTGGGGTTTATGCTACGTACTCTAAATTACCTTATGCTGTTTGGCAGAACCAATTTCAAAATGTCCATGTAAAGATATAAGAAATCATGTTCAAGCATACCAAAAAAAAAATCTTGCTGCAAGGAGGTCTGTAACACATTACACAAACACACAAAATAATCCTGATTTTCTGTCATTAAATCTTGCTTCTTCTTTCAGATATATTATCTGATCAAGCAAAATGACATTTGCATGTGAAAAAATAAAATATTAAAGAACTGTACAATAATATAATTTCCCATTTTGCATGTAAAAAATCTAAGTAGGAAGGTAGCTAATGTATTAAGTATCATGAACAAAATATGTAGAATTATGTTGAAAGTACATTAGAGTTAGCTCAGCTATATATCCTTATCCCAGAAATGTTATGTTTAACTCGTATGGAGTACAGGCCCAGATTTATTTCTTTATTTTTTTTTTTAAATAAATTCTATCAGATGGAGGATTCATTATGATAATCATCACATCATCAAATTCTGAAAACAAAACTCTCAAACTCATGAGAATTTCACATTGAAAATCTGAAGCCCAGCATGACTAACAGACATGATGGACATCTATGTGCAGAAGGCTCTTACCGTAAGAGACTACACTGATCTTTCCATCATTAGAAGAAAGATTCCCACTCCCTGGGCATTAGGCACTGCAAGCTGTCTGGTCAATACCTCCCCTATTTCAGTAGCAGATGAAGCAATCTGTATATATGCAGCACATACATGCAAATATTTTACAAAGATATAAATGTATCTTTAAGAATAAAAAGAACTATAGAAAGGCACTATACATAAAATGATATGCCTCCCTTACGCTAAATACAATAGAATTAAGTAAGACTCATAAATAGTAGATCCTAGTTTAAATATTCAGAAATGAATATATCTGCTAAAAAAATATAAATAATCTTTATTTCTTGGTTGAATTCTAGCAGAATAACAGATTTCTACCACACATTATTCAGGTAGTCAAAGTCACTGTTAAGTCATTAGTGGTAAGCTTATTATATAAAACATCGTATGTTATAGTAACATTTAAAAACAGATATTTCTCCTAAAAAGATATCTCTTAAAAAAATAAAAAAAAATAGTACTGAGATTTTGTGACAAAATGTCCTGGGTTGAGTGAGTGGTGGGGCTTTTTTGGTGGTAGGGGAGGGGACTATGGGGGTGGTCCCCTGTGAGAAGCTTCTCGAAGCTCCCCCAGCTCCAAGTCAGCTCCACTTCTGTTTGGGAAATTGAGCCAATTGGCTGCGCCTCTGTGATAATGTATTTAAGAAGGGACGTGGTGACGGGCAGTGGGACTTGTGAGGAGGAGTTGCGGCAGCTGCATGAACACCAAGGTCAGTGGAGGAACGGAGGAAGAAAGGAGGAGGGAGGTGTGCCGGAGCAGAGACCCCCCTGTATCCTGTGGTGAGACGGCAGGGCGGCCCCCCCTACCACCCATGGAGATCTACGGTGGAGCAGACACTGATTTATGGCCTGTGGCTTCTGCCGGGTTGATTAAGGTGCTGTGCCCGAAGAAGGCCAGGGTCTTGTGGGAAAAGGTAGCCCCACTGCTGTAATTCAGCACTGGGAGGATTGCAGCATGCGGGGGAGTCCCACGCTGGAGCAGCTCGGGAAGGGCTGCAGCCATGGGAGGGAATCCAGTCGGAGGAAGTTGGTGACCCACGATGGAGCAGTGTGGGGAACGCTGCGGCCCGTGGGAGGAACTCATGTTGGAGAAAGTTTGTGGAGGACTGTCTCCTGTGAGAGGGGGACCACGATGGAGCAGGGGGAAGAAGTTCCGGACACTCCCCTCACCGAAGATGAAGGAAGTGGCAGCACTAACTGCACCCCCCATTCCCTGCCCGTGCACCACTGAGGGGAGGAGGTAGAGATATCGGGAGCAGAGCTGAGCCCGGGAAGAAGGGAGGGGTGGGGGGAAGGTGTTCTCAAGATGTGGCAATGCTTCTCACTGTCCTACTCTGTTATGTGTTGTTAGTGTCTGTAATAAATGTATGTTCTTTTTTTCTTCCCCTAATGAGTCTGCCTTTTGCTCGTGATCATAAAGGGGATTTTTTCCCCATCCCAGTCCTATCTCGAACCCCAAGCCTGGCTCTCTGTCCCTTCTTATTGCTGGAAGAGAAGGGAGAGAGAGCTGCTGCATGGTGGTTGGCCGCCGACCAGGCCCAAACCACGACACAAAATCAGATATTTTTCCGTGGGACAACCTTCAGTTTCTTTTATTTCTTTGAATATTGTTACTGGTACTGTTTGTAAGACTCCCTAAATCTCTGTTTAACTGCTGTTATTGATTCTTAAGATCTGAAATACAGGTCTAACAGCTTTTTTGCCCGCTCCTTAAGTGTCTTTTATATAAAACATTAAGGGCATTGATATATTTGTTTTCTCTTTTGGAGAAGTACAGATAACTCTATCATTCTATACATCACCTTCATTGATTGGTTTATTTCTAAAGATATGTGACAATTTACCTGCAGGACACTTGTTCCTAACTCATTAAGAATGATCAGTAAACCCTGTGGTGTTCATTAAAAAGAATCTTCTGTACACAGCAGCAAAAAAAATATTTCCTTCAACAATGGTTCAGCCACTATAAGGTGGCTGTAAGGTCAAAGAAATAGATAACAAATACATTGAATGCAATCTCTATTGTATCTTCTTATTCTGAGTGCATCCCGGAGGCATAAGGGTTTGATTCATGCATGTTGTTTAGACTCACTCTGATCCTCTTGCCTAGTTGTTAATAATATTTATTTTGTGGGAGCTCATAAATTCTAAAATTTAGAAGAGAAGATTTCTGGTGAAGTAATGAGCCAAAATATGACAAAACATCAATCAAAGAAGCTTGTGACTTCTGACCCTTTCTGGGCTTGGTTTTATGACTTTCATATCTTTGAAGTTATGAAAAGGAGACAAGATATGACAGGTGCTGTGCTTGGAGAAACCACTTAGTCAATTTAATTCCAGCCACCTGTGAGTAACACCACAGAACTACTTCAGCAAATTTGAAAGTGTTCAGCTCCCTATCTTTCTTTCACAGGAGTAACACATAAACAATGCAATGGCTTGGGGGTGTATTTGGCTAACTTTCTTTCAGCCCATTGAAGAAGTAAAGGATATAAGTCAAAATGCAACAACATTACATTTCAACAGTGCAATCTATCAAACAAAATCAGAGATACTGTTCAGAAGATTGGGCAATCTATAAATGCAATGCAAAATGTGGTTGTGTGAAGTCTTAAAATAGTACTATGGCTAGTTATTTCTGTATGATAGGTAAACTGAAAGAAAATGAATCCTCATGTACTTCATAGGTCAGATTCTTAAGTAGGGCATTTTGGTAAAATTAGAACTGTTAACTCCCTCTTAGCTGTTCTAGAAGAGGAATCAAAATGGAAAGTAATATTTATTTTCAGTTTTTGAGCTTGTGAGGCTTGGGTGCCAAGAAATTACACCTTCTTGGGGCTTTTTATGAAAGTCTGGGTTCTTGAACAGCCCAAAGGTAAGAGCAAATTTCTAATTTTAATCACATGACTTCAGTTTTATCAAGCAGGAGATTTTGGATTTGTCTTTGAACTGGTCATATTAGATCTTTCCAAAGTCGGTGAAGATGCTTCAGTCTTCAGCAGAAATTGAATCAGTGCCTTAGGGAAATAAGATTGTCCTATTGTTCTTTTGGGGGAGGCTGGGGTGAGGGGGTAGAGGAGAAGGTTTGGAGAAGAGCTGTTTGTGTGCAGAAACAAAGTTACTCAAGTTACAAATAAGTTGTAAGAAAGGAGGAAAAGGCAACTGAGGCAGCCTGATAGAAGGTTAAACTGTTGCTGTAGGAGTGGTATCCCGCTACAGGTTCACATAAAAATTGACAAACTGAATTACAGAGATATGTAAGTGTAGAAAATGATGTTTTAATACTTTTCTCCCCACACACACATTTAAAATACTCATACTTAATATAGCAAATATAACATTAAAAGTCTACATATTTCAGAAACCAGAGTTCTGAAAGTTTGTCATACACTATGTGAGGGTAAAGCCAGGAGACAGGAAAAAGGAGGAGGAAAGTAAGTATGTGTCTTTTTGTGCCAATTTTCTCTCCTGCCTGAGGCTGCCACTTTGGTAATAACCTGAGTTTCTAACACCTTATATTACACAGGAGGCTCAAGACTCTGAAAAGTTAGGTACAATAAAAACCTGAGAAATGTGTAGAGAGTAACAGTATCTGTTAAATCTAGGCTTTCTGGTAGGAATGAGTTAGTCAGAATGCTATCATTCAGAGGCAGACAAATTACATCTGATTTTTAGTGGGAGGGAATGTGTTTGTGGAGGAAAGAAGTCCTAGCCTGTGAGCAGACCAACATTCAGAGCATTGACCCACATTTTAACTCTCTCAACAGATGAGGAGTTTTCAACTCTTCATGAAAGATTTGCTCAGCTTTGTTAAAATCACACATCAATCAGAGATAAATAGGCAGCATCTTCACAAATTGAGTGTTACAATAATAGCATTTATATTTCTTTTTTCTAAATAATTATCATGGATTCAGTTGCCCATAAAAGTAAAATATAAAACATTCTCAGGAGTTTCAGCCATATGTCAGTACCAATATATTTATTTAAGGCACTGTACAAACCCAGAACAAAAGCTAGCACCTCTGCATTTACTTCGCTCACTGACAAAGCTACTAACATGGTGGATCCTCTCCTTGCATCAAACATCAGAGGTCTTTTACGCTTAATGGGTAGAATCTTTTCTCTTTCTGATACTCAGCTTCCTGAAGGAAACAGAGAGAAGATCAAAGCACAATGAGAATGATATGGAGAGCAAGACCCAGGAGTTTCAATCCATTTATATCATCTTGTCTTTTAATATTGTGAGCAAATCCCCTTAAAATGAATGCAGGCCACAGTGGAAGTTAATTCTGAACAGTATGATTACGAAGTCAGAACATGGAAGGTTCATACACAAGATATCAAAAGAATGGGTGTCAAGTCTGCTCCTTACTGAACAAGGGACTAAAAGGAAAAAAACAGTAACAAAAAACATTTGGGACAGGAAACCTCAATATGTTTTTCTGCAGTGCCTCAAATGTTCATCTCCAATGTTTTGATAGTTCCTCTGTCCACAAATATTGGTCTCCAACAGCTCTCAGTGCACTTACCTGCAAAAGATAACAGGGTTTATACTACACCTATTTATGCACAATCATAAAGCTGAAAACTACCAAAAAATTCCAATCCCTGTTTCCTGTAGTAATTTCATAGTTGTAAAATTCTTGTAAACTTTTCAGCAATAGTTTACTTAACTAGAAAATACTGTCCTCTACACATCCTCATTTATTAATAAAAAATGTTAGATATTTACAGTTAAATAAAAATTCCCTCAAAATTGCTAGAAACATTAAATTGGATTTACTAAAACCACAGAACTCCTTTGCTTCCCAGCTTCAAATAAGCATTCAGTCTGTGTCCAGTACAACTTTATTAAGGGCAATAGAAAAATTCTCTTTGACCTCAAAGGCACTGGAACCTGGCCATTAGGACCAGGTCACTCTTGGCCTTCTTAACAGTGTGGAGATGAGAGTCATAGAAAGGATTTATCTTTCCACTGGTGATAATCCTACAAGCAGCAATGAAGAGAAATATGCACTATGGTCTTACCTGAGTTGTTATAGAAATCATGTCTCCAAAAGGCTGGGATGTGATTAGTCTAATCAGATCAATGCAAAACCATACTGCATTCAAATGTTCAATTTCACTAAAGCAGCTGCCAATATCCCATTCAAATCTATCTACTTAAATACTCTATTTCATTGTATGCTACTTGAGAGCGTTGTTATTCTCCAAGTTAGGAATGCCATAGCACATAGATTATTCATGCAGAAGGTGCTGGAGCAGTTGAACTATATCAAGATATCTCCTGAAAACCAAGTTAAGAACTAATATGTGATCTCAGCAAACCAGAAACTATTTAGTGGCATATACTGCAAGTTTACACTTTATTTTGCACCAACATCAATATGTGGGTGCCATAATCATGCATTATTTATGAGGCATTTTCAGAAACATGGGTTCTAAACCTGTATATAAACTACAGGAGAAAAACACTAGATGAGAGGTAGTATTATGGGGTTTAATAATCCCAGATACAAGCATAGATTCAGTGTGGGCTCCACAGTGCTTTCATACACAATTGTGTATGAAATATATAGCTGAGAAGAGATAAAACTTTGACCCCCTGGGCAGAAGTTCAGTGGGGAGCTTTCTGTTCAGTGATGTTACAAGACTGAATTGGTCTAGCTAAATCACAGAACCTTCACATTGCAGCCTGATGCGTATGAATCAGCCAGGATAAAACTGATTCCTTTTCTCAGTGCACAGTCACAGGTAAAGTCAAAGGCAACTTCTGATACATGATCTAAAAAAATAATATGTGGCCATTCTTTCCCCAGCTGAAATGCAAAAGAAAGGTGACATGAACAGAGGCAGAAAGAGAGCATGAATACTGTAGAGGTCAAGCAATAGAAGAGCAAGGAAGAATTTATAGTCATTATTTTTAAACATTCCAATGCCAACTTTTTTCCCCTTCTCAAGGTATCTGAAGTGAGTACACAAGGATACAGAGTTTGTGCTTAGGCATCTATATTTTCTTCTAGGTCAAATTAAGCTAATGTAATAAAGTAATGGAAAACCACTGATGGATCTTGGCTGAAGACATGGATGTCAAACTTTCTTTAGACAACAGAAACACTGCTTGACAGAGAAAGGTATTTGTTAGTGACTTTCCATCTACTACAAAGCACCTTGAGTTGTCTTGGCACAGTGACTTGCCATATGGAGTGATGTGTGACCTGTGTTAATTTTGTTCCTATCAAGACATTTTGTTCAATTTCCACAGAGATGTTGTGATGGAAATTATTGGCTACATATGGCAGCAGGAATACGTGAAAATGTGCAGCCTTTTTAGGACATTTAGAACTGATCATAATTCCTCAAACTCCCAAGAATTCTTTACTATTATTAGTCTCTGATATCAGAAAAAAATAGCCTTGTGGTAACAACAACAATGATGCTTAATTACCCAATAATGAGGCAATTAACTAAGTTGCCCTTCTAAGTTTTTTTCCTTAATGGAAAATATTTGAATATTCAGTTGCAACTGCTGTATTAAGCCTTAGCAGCAGTACATTTCTTTGACGAAGACTGTTCCCCTACATGAGTCAACAACAACTATTCTAAAGGAAAGCTTTGATCAGCTGTTATTTCTCTGTAATGGATAAAGTTGTTTTGCTCATTGTTTTGACTGTTGCCTTTTTTGTCTTCCTTTAGACCATATCCATCTTTCTCTGAATGCAAATCCATCTTTTCATACTGGATAACTGGTCATTCTTTACAGCCCTTTAACTAGCTTGTTTCTGTTTCCTCCATTTTCTTATTGTCTTTTCTGCAAAACTGTAATCTTCTGTTTATCCCCATTATTCTTCTAGTCACCCTCTCATATGATCAGAAGTAGTACAGCCACCCCTCTAATTGCAGCATTCTTCTCATCTGCAGCTCCTAGTTGCCATGAGCTTTTCTACAATCTAATTGTCTACTTCTATTGCAGGGATTACCAAAGTGTGAATTGCAACACTCAGCATTTACTGTATTAAAAGCAGAAATGCTGCTTTTTCTTTAGAGAAAACAAACAGTAACTGTTTGGGCAGTGATTATTGGTCTAACAACTGAATACCTTTTGTTAAAAACATATTTCTCAACACAGGACTGTAAGATGAAGTTGGCACCACCAAGAAAACACAACTGTCTTCTTTCTGAAACAGCAGTAGTCAAAGAAGCTGCAATTTGGAAGCACATAACTATGTAACCCTTTTTTTCATTTAGATTGTTTATCCTTTCACTTAGATAAGTGAAAATTGGTATATTACTTGCACAAGTGACACTAAATAGCGAAATTGTAGCCTCCTCTGTTTGCCAGATCAAAAAACATAAGGAGATATTCTATCAAGTTATCAAAATACTAGTTGACAGCTAATGAATTTCAGATAATCATAAATCACATAATATACACAATTATATCAGTTCCACAACAGTTCAATAAATTCCAGTTTATTTGATTCAATACCTACTCATTTTGATTATCAGTGTTAGTTTAATTATTTTATTTGAAATATACTCTGTACTATCCTCATGAAATAAATTGTAATGGTACTACTAACATGAGCCTTATTATTTAACAACTTATTTTAAAGACTAATAGATATACAGCTGAACTGAGTAAGAAAAAAAATGTGCATATATTACAGCAGTTTCTAAATAAATATAAAGTATTTGGGCTACATCCTGCTGTTAGTTGCCTCAGTGCAAGGCCAGGGTCAAAATCTGACCAAGCAGAAAATTAATTGAACTGAAGTGCTTGAATATGAATATAACTATTTTCTTTTCAACAGGCTTTTTATTCATTCTTTTTCTATTCTACTAGCGTAACTATGGGAATACTAAGGGAATTACTTGAAGGTGAGTTTTTCCTAGTCTGAAGCATCCTCATTAGTACTGATGATGTGCAAGTTATAGAGACCCATTTTAACTAAAAGCCTCAGGTAAAATATCTAAGGCTGAGAGGCAGGAAAAGTTGAGACAAAAGTTTCTGCTCACATAAATTGTAATAGCAGTGAAGCCAGCAGAACAGTAAACAATGTTTCCAATCATTTCTATACGTTAGCTAATCCCATTTGTTTTGAAAGTATGTCCCACATACCACTATCTCATCTGATACCGGGTGGGTATGTGTTCATACATACAGTGATATAAGGAATATGCCCAACTGCAGAGGAAAGAGGAAACTGGGTGTCGTGGTTTGAGGCTGGTCAGCAGACAACCACCACGCAGCCTCTCTCTCTCTTCCTTCTCTTCCGGCAATAAGAAGGGACAGAGAGCCAGGCTTGGGGTTCGAGATAGGACTGGGATGGGGAAAAAATCCCCTTTATGATCACGAGCAAAAGGCAGACTCATTAGGGGAAGAAAAAAAGAACATACATTTATTACAGACACTAACAACACATAACAGAGTAGGACAGTGAGAAGCATTGCCACATCTTGAGAACACCTTCCCCCCACCCCTCCCTTCTTCCCGGGCTCAGCTCTGCTCCCGATATCTCTACCTCCTCCCCTCAGTGGTGCACGGGCAGGGAATGGGGGGTGCAGTTAGTGCTGCCACTTCCTTCATCTTCGGTGAGGGGAGTGTCCGGAACTTCTTCCCCCTGCTCCATCGTGGTCCCCCTCTCACAGGAGACAGTCCTCCACAAACTTTCTCCAACATGAGTTCCTCCCATGGGCCGCAGCGTTCCCCACACTGCTCCATCGTGGGTCACCAACTTCCTCCGACTGGATTCCCTCCCATGGCTGCAGCCCTTCCCGAGCTGCTCCAGCATGGGACTCCCCCGCATGCTGCAATCCTCCCAGTGCTGAATTACAGCAGTGGGGCTACCTTTTCCCACAAGACCCTGGCCTTCTTCGGGCACAGCACCTTAATCAACCCGGCAGAAGCCACAGGCCATAAATCAGTGTCTGCTCCACCGTAGATCTCCATGGGTGGTAGGGGGGGCCGCCCTGCCGTCTCACCACAGGATACAGGGGGGTCTCTGCTCCGGCACACCTCCCTCCTCCTTTCTTCCTCCGTTCCTCCACTGACCTTGGTGTTCATGCAGCTGCCGCAACTCCTCCTCACAAGTCCCACTGCCCGTCACCACGTCCCTTCTTAAATACATTATCACAGAGGCGCAGCCAATTGGCTCAATTTCCCAAACAGAAGTGGAGCTGACTTGGAGCTGGGGGAGCTTCGAGAAGCTTCTCACAGGGGACCACCCCTATAGTCCCCTCCCCTACCACCAAAAAAGCCCCACCACTCACTCAACCCAGGACACTGGGAAAAAAAGGAAGTAATATGACTTGAAGCTCTCCACACACAATAGCAACCTGCATCTAGCACGTTTAAGTATCTAGCAGGAAAATTCTAGTAAATCCAGAATATTAAAAAATCTTCTATTTACCTAGGCAACCTGTGAGAAACAATGCCACGCATTCAAACAATTTAAAAATGGTAGCTCAAATACCATTTCTCTCCCCCATCCTCTCTCAAGTATTTTCATCTATAGAAATACTCATA